AACACCGCTTTCTTCTTGTCCTTACTGACGACAGTTTGTGTTTACCTTCTTTTGGGGATGACGGTAAGATCCTATATTATAACTAAATTAAATAACACCTGCTGACCTCTTCCACGCACCCTACACTTCCTCAAAAGGTGCCGAAAGTTTTTGTAGTACAGCTGATTATAATTCACAGTGCAATAGACCTTCACCTCTGAGTGTTTTGAGTCTTTTTACAAGTCATACAAGGTGGCTTAAGATACTTTCTATTAATTGGAATGGAGATGCTTTTTTTGTGAAATTCGCTATGGTTAATGATGACAACGTTTTGCCATATTAGTCTATTCGAGTGGCATAAAATAAAGCTGTCACATAAGAAGTTTTTAGGCGCACAATAGACCTGACAGTTGCAGTGCCACATCCCCTAACAATAATAATAAGAAATTTTTACAAATATGTCTTATATGCCGAAATCTGAGACTGTCTAAATAGTCTGCACCTCATTCGAATGTTTGTTTTTTCATGTGTATTATCTGCCAAGATTTTGTGTTTTGTGAAGAATGGGTACGTTCTTTTCATACTTTATTTTCAATGTGTCTTACTTGATGATCTATTCTATCTCGTTCATTGTATTGTTCTGGTGTTTCGTTAACTTTAATCTCACATTTTGATTGGCGAATTCTCTTAATTTTTAAACGTTAATATCGTGGTTCCAAAACTATTTCACAGAGTGTTCGAAAAAAAATATGTTATACAAATATATTATATGTAACAGATAGTATATATAAGTAGATGTAAAAAAATAAATGTCATATTTTAATATCATCCAAATTACTATGGATTTGATCCTACCGATTTAGAGAAATTTAAACTTCTTGAGTTGTTGTTTTCTCATTTCAATAAAATTGAAAGCAATTTTTAATGACTTCGGTATTTACGTTTTATATAATTCAAATATTTGATTAAAAACAAAAATGATTCTTGATTTGAACCACCCAAATGTAAACAAAATAATTTATAATTTAAATAAAATGTTATTAAAATTCACTTATCGTTTAACAAATTTGTCGCATTAATCTTTTACTGAGTTTTCATGTCATACTTTGCAGATATAAATTATCATTACACGTATTCAGTCCAGTTGATACACCTATATTTCAAATAAATCGATCATAAATCACCGGCATGCGCTTTATCTGACTTCAGAATTACTTAAACTAAACGGATACAAATATATATTTGTAGTTTCTATTTTTAAAGCTATTTTAATTGCAATCTTGAATTAAATGCAAATAAAGAAACGCTTAGCATAAGCAATTTAATCGGCTTATGAAAGAGAACATAATAGATGAATTTTTGAATCCACGGTCATCTGACGTAGCCTCAGAAATATTTCACAAATTGCAAAAAAAGAAGTTAATAATATATTGTTTTAAAATTGAAAAGTAACAGTTTTGACAATTAAATAAATACCATGTTAGCTTCTCCATTCTATACTCACAGAATAAAATTTTGAAAGTATACATAAATTATTAAAGTGCCCAACATCAAAATCTCGCACACACCGATGACTCCCATCAAACCCTTTCAAAAGGTTAAAAGATACCTACGTCCCTAGCTACAGTATACATATTCAAATAGCCATCGTCATTATTTTCCTAAAAACTCTTCCTAAGTCTCTTAGCGGACTCATACGATGCACTGTTGCTCCACTGAAGCCAAATTTTAGTATTCTTTTTCTGGGTTCTTAGACTTGGTGAAATCAATGGCAATGAATATTTTAATAATCTAGTGCGAACTAAAACAGTAATACCGTTCTGTTGACTGTAGTCGTTTAGTGGTGTGATATAGTATGTATCTAAGTCTTAAAACGGTACTGAAAGAATAACGCAGTCAAAGAACTAATTCGATTTTTTTTACAGCTAGGATTAAATTTGAAATTCGGAGTAAAAATTGTGGTTTGATCAATATCAGGAGAAAGGTCATGTAACCGGATGAGATACCGACGCGCGAATTAAATAGGTACTCATCGATGAGAGTAATTATAGCCATAGCATCAGATGAATAAGAGGAACGAGGTGGGCCTTGACGAACGTCAATCACGAGCTGATGTGTCTAAAACTACAATAAGGAAATACTTCTCAGATAAAAAAATTGAGGTTGCTTGCATTATAATCCTAAAACAATGGATTTATCTGAGCTAACAAAATTTCATCTTTCCCTAGTCTTAACCTCAACTAGTGATATATATTACTATTATTGTACTATTAAGAGTATATTGGAGCGGAAGCTTCTCTTGTCTAACAATAGATATAATTAGACACTTAAGGCAGTAGGTTATAATATTCCTAGTTCAACTTTCACTATAAATGCTGATTATCATCCGTTCGGTTAAATTTAGTGCTAAAATACAGATCTATCATGACTATAGTGCTCTGCTTTACTGGGATCATGAATTCATTTTGAATAAAAATAATTATAATTTTGATTTGTTGAGATAAATTGAATTTATTTTTAAATATCGTAAACGTTGCAGCAAACATTATATTTAATTTTTATATATAGGAATGAGTCTAAGATAAATAAATTTGACATTCTTAATTACATAAATTTATTTTTATACTTTATTAATTTTTAAGAAATTTTTGAATAAAATTTTCTTTTGCTTTATTAACTCTACTAATAAAATTTTTTATTTTTTTTTGATTTTATAAGAAATAAAAATTTTAATAATTTTATATTGTAATTCAATAATTAGCGTGAACATTTTTTTCTGAAATTTAAAGAGAAAGTTTCATATATGAGTAGGATAAGTTATATTATTTTTTTAACTTTTCTTTTTAACAATTTTAATACATAATTTTACAGATAATATATTTAATTTCATAAAAAAATTTTTGAAAAATCATTTAAGTCATTTAATGTCAATAAGCTTTAACTACTCTGTGTAAATAATATACAATATAAATTATTGTTTATTTATTTACAAAACTTTCACAAATTCAACTCACAAGAACGCTGCATTTCTTTAATTACTATATAATACATTTACACTACAGTGAAAAAAAATCAATTTTTATTTTAATTAAAATTAAATATAATATATATATTGTAATATTTTAGATTTAAAAACTTCTATGACATTATTTTTAAATTTGCTTCTTAATATACAATGTTTTCAAGCAATTTTTCAAAATTAATTTTGTTTTTTTATATTACATATTGTTTGTATCAAGTTATTAATTAACATTAATTTTTGAAAGTATTTTCTTGTCAAAATTCACAAAGGAAAGAGGTTTTTCTTACTAATATTAACCACAGAAAAAGAAAAAGCTTAAACCACAACAACAACAACTTTAAGGTTAAGCGCAGTTTTTAATAATATTTAAATTTTTTGTTATTAATTTTAATTTTATTTAAATAACTGAATACTATTAAAGATATTCTTGGTTATGTTTGTGATAATCCAGCAAGTATTAATTAATTTAATTTAATTATATTAAAATTAATGCCTAAAGCCTAGTAGTTAATTCTCAATCATTTTATTGGGCATAAAACTGTATTTCAAAATCTATATGTATTTTAATGTATTAATAATATTTTTTTCTATTATTATTATTTTTATTTTATATTTTTTTCAAATTTTTTTAATAATAATTTAATTGCAAAAATAAACTTAAACATATAATTTTTGTTTAAAATCTAATTTTATTTATTTTAGTTGCAATATATTTTGAAATTATTAAAATTATTAATTAATTTTAAAATAAAAATAAAATATTAAAATAATAATATTAAAAATAATATTATTTATTTTTGGTGACAATATGGATATTGTTTATTTAATTATAAATTGAAAAGGAGTTTATCACTATTACTTTATGTATTATTATTTTTATTTAAGTATTATTTTTTATCAATATATATATATATATATATATATATATATATATAATATATATTATAATATATATATTGATATATATATATAATACTATACTTTTATATATATATACTTTCACATTTTGTATTACTTTTATTTTTTATATTATATAAAATAATATCATATAATATAATTTAAAAATAATTATGTAATTACTATTGTTCATTTCTGTTTTTAATTTATATTTATATAGCTTTGAGTTAAAAATACATTTTATATTTTAATGGCTGTTATACCAAATATTTTTTCATATTTAAATTTTTTTTTATTAAGTTTCTCTTTATTGCTTATATATATTTAAATTTATTAAGTTTTATTTTATTACTTATATATATTTAAATAAATATTTATATATGTATGTATACTTTCTGTTTTTATTCTATATGTTGCACATACCCTTTTT